CAGGCTGCGGCGTCGTAGAGTCAGAGCTTCTGGTTTTGATTTCGGCTTTGCCCTAAACCCTAAGCCTCAAGACTTGGGCCATTGATGAGGCTCATGTGAGGATACGTCTCCTGAATACGGAAGGCATGACAGCTGGGTCGCTTGGCGTCTAGAATTGAATTCTTAAGCCTTGGGTTTGGGTCCTAGGTTGGGGCTCCGATGCGTAACCCCCCAGACCTCAAGCGCGAACCTCTCCAATCCTGGACTCAACCTGCCGCTATCCATCTGCGGATTTCTTAATTAAACCAGAAGACCCTTACCCCTTCTAACTACCAAAAAAGCTCAGGGATCCTCTGTAGAACGGAACCCTTATCCAACCCAAAGCCCTTCTTGGGATTGATCTGTGGGAAGGGAACTCTTGAAGTCTGACTGAAAGGCAAAGAAGAGCCCTTGGCCAGACTAGCGGTGCAGTTTCATGGCATGAGCCCCTCTGGCTTCAGAGTACAGGTGAGGAACTGCTGGCTGAGGTCGTCGATAATGCACTTCGCGTTGTTGTAGTAGTAGTACGTGCTCAAACCCCAGTCGCCTCGATCCTCCTCCTTGCGCACGGGGGCTGGATCCCAAAAGTTGCGAAACCCTAAACCCCTGAATCCTGATACCCTTAACTGAAAGGAGCACACTGATTCAGCTCGCAAAAAACCCGTCAACAGTTAGAAGTTTCACCTTGTTGCGTCTCCTACGTCTGGACATTTCATTCTCATGGACTGAATCAGGATCTACCTGTAGTCTCCATTGTAGTTCCTTTTCGGCATTAAGCACTTTTATATGTAGGATCCTATAAGGTATAACCCCCAAAAAAGGCACTACAATGGAGACTATGGGTAGCACTGGGTTTCCCTGGAAGGGACCTTGCAGCAGATAGCAGCTGCACCCGTGATCTCCGAAACCCCAGCCCTGATGCTCTGCTGGGCAGGTGTGCTTGAAGGATCATGGGACTTAGTAGCTAGGGTTCAAATTAGGGTAACTCTACTTATAACTATTTGTAACCCCAATTAAGGTACTTATAACCTTACTGACTAGGTCCCATGATCCTCCAAGTGGGTCTGTACACCTTCAGAACCTCCAACTCCAGAGGTCAATCATTCACGTGGCTCTCATCCCGTATCTGGCAGTGCTTGCGAGATGACAGGCCACAGTATACCGGTCGTTGAAGTTTACACATACCCCAGATGATAGGGGCCCAGCGTTTTCCCTCAGCAACCAGAACGAATAGCCATATGAGCGACGGCCTGCAATCCATCAGGGCGCAATCGCTGTAACGTAAGATTTGTTCCCTGATCTCATTCGCCTTGATACACATCTTCGGGGCTGTTTTCACCCTCAAGCTTCGGCCACGCAATTTTCGATTCACCACCGAGTCCACAGAAAAAGTTGCATGGTGACCTTGCTCGATGCTTGTACCCCATCTGCTCCCGCCCAAGGAAACCTCTTCTGCAAAAGGCTTCTGCTGCCAAAAAATAGCATATGATCACGTGACAGCATACTGGTAAGACAAAGTGCCGGTAAATGACTCTCCAACCACCCATGGCCCATGGCCCATGTTCCAACACCATGGAGGATGATGGGACTAACACATACGGAACACTCCCCCCCTTCCCCAACTGTTCACAGGATATGCAGTGTCCAAAACCTTGCGCGACCCTGAACTATGAGCACGAAGCCAGACCCTAGGGATCAAAATAGCTCAAAAGCCTTATATAGTATGGTCTTTGGGCCCAAAAGCATTAATATATGAGTCCTTAGATCCCTAGGGAGAAGCCACTGGACAACAAAAGCAAGCAAGTGTTCATGTCGTGGGCCTGCATGTCTCTTGATGAGCTGTCCTGTCGGATGCACGACAGGCTTCATGCAGAGGTTTCTTGTTCTTCAGCCTTGCAGACTAGCTCTGAGCCTGGGAGAGGTATGAGGATTGCACTACGGTCGGGCGCCTTCTGGGGATACCTTACACTACTTATAAGGACGGTATGCTAGAGGAACCTATGACACATGAGGGTTTTGGGGATATGGTCGCGAAATGGGCTCTGTTTGAGCATCCTATACAAGAGCCTGAGATTACGCAGAAATCTGGCAGCATCGGCCCCATCATGCTTAACATTGGCCTTAAAGTAGTCCCTATATGGGTCCCAAGGTATATACTATTTGGGTACATGGACCCTTAGGGTTGTGTCCGTAACACTGCCTCAAACTCGCCACCGCACGTGATTGATTGACAGCTTAATTTGCAGTTGGAAGCCTTCAAGGCCAATCTATCGTCTTAAACGCTAGGTCTTGTAAGTCATGGCGCCTGTCGCTTTGTAAACCTTCAAGTGTACCAGCATGGAGCGCGAATTGAAGCACAAGCACAGTTCTTGCGGCGAGTGGCGGCATAGGTGGGCATGTGTGACCCCACTGGGATCAATGATCGTGCAATGATTAGCATATGGGTGGTTGTCAAAATGATGGTCCCTTTTTGGGGTCCTTCATAGAATACAGCACCTAATATTTAGGGTACCCCAAAAGGGATCCTAATTTTGACAACTACCCGTATTGTCGAAAAGCCACAAGCAGAACATTGCGGGGTGGAATTACGAAATACAGTTGAGACTGTGTGAGGTTAATAAATAATGTCCTTCGTCACCAGGGCTGCCGCAGACCATGCCCACAAAAGCAATGCAAAGCGCGACATGCCGGGCAGAAATCTGCGTTGCTACGTTGAGCTGCGTTGATTCGATTCCTCGAGCCAAGAGTGCTGCGCGCCAAGGGCAAGTCATGGCTGCAACTCGCCACCAAGCAACACAACCAGTCTGTCTGGTCTGCTTGTGCCGTGGTAAAGTTGAAGGAACAGCGGCAGCCCTTCAAGTGCAGCCCAATGCAGTTTTCGCAATCATGAACTGTCTTCAACGCCAAGCCCTTGAAAGCAACATCCCCGCAAGCCATCCGGCAAGGAATCAGACAAGGGTTCACGTAAGTTACAGCCGGAAGCGTCGCAGTCTTGCTTGCAGGATACATCGGCACTCTTTCAAAGCAAATTCGCGTCGCTGCCCTCCAGTGCTTTTGGCACAGAACCTCCAGGGTTGCTCTGCATTCGCTGTCGAAGCTGCGGAACGAAAGCACCTATATACAACTAACCAAAGACTTCTCATATACTAGCCCAGGGCGATGCAACGATTGTCCAGTAAACCCAAAGTGCCATCGTTTTGGATGCCAGGCCTTCAGCTCTTGGCATGAGTTCCACGCAGCTGGCGCTCGGCTTCGCACTCCGCGTCTTTCAGGATCTGGCCGCCCAGGTCAAAGAGCTCAGGTGATAGGCTTTGGTTCATGTGCTGTAGGGCGGTACTGGTTGAATTGATGTCGGGGAATCACCTTGCTAAACATTCAGGCTTCTGCATTAACCCCGGCTCATCCGACATGTCCAAATCTTGCGGGGTCTGTAGCCCTGAGCCGCTTTGCCAACCCTAAATCATTCTCAACCCTAACTAATGCAGCCTGACCCCTGAAAGCCTTCATATTACATTATGAGATTGCGTGCATAAGCCTGCACTCTAGCAGGCCATAACTACCCAACCCAGCACCCTCGGGTCCTCCGCAGCTTGCTTTACACCGATCCTTACCGGCCTGCCAGGTGAATGTCCGGGATGTATGTAGAAATTTGGGGCCTGAGAATAATTGGAATAAGGTTTGGGGGCGAGAGGGGGGTATATCATAGTATAGTTACATTAAAGGACGCCTGAGGAATGATGTCGGCCATTATACTTACCCCTGCAGTCGATGCTTGTTGCTGCGAGGGGAAGTAGACGTCTCGTGCCAGGTATCGCTGCTCTTCCTGCATCTTTCCCCCCCCAGGAGCCGTGCCAGCCGTAAAACTATAAACCCTAAAAGCCCTATAAACCCCCATAGACCCCCATAAACCCGAAAAGGAATGAGCGAGAACGGAGCCTCAGCTTTGCCCAATACCAGCGACCGTAGTCGACGAAGAGCTCCTTCTCAGCAGACTTTTTAAGGGCTTCAGGGTTTTAGGGTCTATAGGCTCAGTAAGGCTGAACAGGGTTTTTGAGGTGTTGCAACATTTTCTTGTCTATCGGCTATCGGATCGGAAGTTCTCTGAATGATGGTTGTTTGGTCAAAATTCCGCAATCCCTGACCAGGCGGCACTTGGCAAACTTTCGCCTGGCAGGTCCTTCCAGGTCTGAATTGCTGAACCCTGCAGCATCAAACAATGGCTGCAACAGACTCTCTGCAGTCGTGTAGGAACAGAACAGTATTGTAAGTTCTCAAAAACTTCCTGGGTAGCTAGACGTTTTCTGGGTGCCTTGATTTGGCTGCATTTGCGAATCTTAACTCTACATACATACATGCATACATACATACATACATGCATGCGTACATACATATCATACATACATACATACATACATACATACATCCATGCATACATACATACATACATACATACACGCATCCATACATACATACATACACACGTACATGCATATGTATATATAATATTTGAGAATCTAACTTGTATATTTGTGCACACGCAACACATGTGGTTGTTCGTTTCCGTTGGTATGTGCTTGGAAGTATTTGGATTTTTGCTTGCACCTAGATCTGCATGTATATATGTCTGTGTCTATACTTATATTTGTGTGTGTTTGCATGGATACTAGTTTGTTTGTGGCAACTACTCATGAAGCTCTGATCCTATGAACCAGCCAAAACCCTGATGTGGCCCACAACAGAATCAACCCCCTAAACTCTGAACCCCCAAAACTTCCTAATGCAGGAGACTAAATCTATAATTGCCATACTATTTTGGGGCTTCCTGATTATAACTAGAGTATAGCGCGCCGCAAAATTCTAATCGAGTAATTAAGGCCCCTGAAATTATAGTACCCTTATAGATCCCTTGTAGAGCCCTTTTAAGGATCCTCAAAGGAACCCTATTCTGATTTCTTAAGGCCCCTTTCGCGTAATTTTCCTGCCTCTCCAGCGGCGATCGGCCGGCAGGCCACCACCAAAGCTCGCCCCTCTCCAGGTCGCTTTTCGAAGGATACATTGTAGACCTCGAGGTTTGGCTTTAGGGCTAGCGGTGGAGGATGCTTCAAGGCTGTTGCGGGCTTGGTGTGGTGCTGTTTTTGCAAGTGCATGCAATGAATGTCCGAAGGAAGGAGTTTCAGGATCTCCACAGCCAAGCTTTGACTTCTAATTGCTGGACCTGCCAACGTGTTGCTGCTTTCCATGCTCCTGGTGGTCGGCTTAACCGATAGGGATCCTTTAAGTCTCGGCGTCCAGGGATTTCGTTGGCAAACGCATATCAAAACCATGCTCAGCAAATGTCGTGCGAGCACCAAAGGTCCCGGCAGCGGGATTGCGACAGTCGTTGATGTACCGCGCAAGCAGGGATGTGTCTTCACGCGCATCAATGTACTCCTCGCAGCATGGGCGATGACAAAGTCTCCACACTCCAAGCCTTCACCGCCGCCCGTTCATCATGAACACGATTGAAAAAGTAGCTGGAGATTCGCTATCCAAGCAGGGACGCGGCAATGTTAATACTACCCTTCAACAGGAACCAACCGACCTGCGTGCCGACTTGCACGGAGATGAACAACACGCTGACATGCATGTCTCCGTAAAGATGTGTGTGCATACTTACCAACTGTATACAGAGAGACAGACTGCACATACAAATAATCTGTATATATATATATATGTATATGTATATGTATATATATATACACATGCGTTCGTACCTGCATGCATGCACACAAACATGCATGCATACATGCAGGCATACATACATACATACATACATACATACATCGGCACATACATAAATGTCTGTAGGTCGGCACCAGACCTACCTAAAGATACCTGCAATATGTCTGCCTGTATGCATACATTTATCTATCTATCTTTATACATATACACCAATAGGGTCGTTTTCGATGTGTGCAACGCCATCATGAGACAAAGCGGCTTGCATAAGGCTGAGGGCTCCTGCGGCCCCACCCGCATGAGGTAGGATTTGTCTTCCAGGCGCATGGCCTGAGAAATTCATGAGCCTAGATGAACAGGAATTCGTTTCTACGGGATGTGGGCATGGTACTTTGTGGCTCTTGCACTTGTTCGTGTTTCAAGATCCAAAGTAAAGGGCCTTATAATGCCCAGTTCTCCGGGGAGACCTGGTATGTTGGGCGATGTCTACGTATGTCCGTGTGCATCCATGTATACGTACACACAGACATACACATACGTACACACATACCTACGTACGTGCATGCATGCATACGTACATGAACACCCTCGCACTTCTCACTTCTGTGACAGTGTGTAACAAAGTCCTGAAAGTGAGCCACCAACCCGAACTTGTAAGCTGGTGCCGCCAGGTTTGCTGACTCATTGACATTTTGGTAACTTGTGGAGCAGTTGAGGGCTTCGGTTTAGGTAGCGCACTTGGGTGCCGGAAAGACTGGTGGCCTCGGCTGTGGTGAAGGTCCTCCCGCGGTATTCGCAGAGGACTTCACCCGGTGCCGCGGCCTTTCGTCAGGCTCTGTTTTGACTCCATGGCATGTCACACACAATACATTCTGATCGCAGTGTGCTGCCTGCAAGTCAGAAAGAGGCGCAAACCTGCTGCTGATGTCGTGGTTTCGTCGGCATCTTGTTTCTCTTTTGCATCATAGCCGTGTTCGCCATTAACAATCATCAGGTTCGTTGTTGAAATTGCCATTCCCAATGCCACGCTCAAAATGTTGGTGGTAGTGCTGATGATGACAGCCACCATGATCACCACGCGAAGTTTGTTTCATGCTCGAGCTCACGCAACTGAACTAGAATCTCCATGATCGTAGTTGTCATCTGTGGCCATAGGGGGTCGCATGCAGACTCCTTTCCCTGAATGCTCTGAAGCATCCCCGGCGGCAACCATCAAGCTCAACATTCTGAACCCAAAAGCTGAAGAGAGCACAGCCACAATCCCAAAGTATAAGACGAACAAACTACAAGCACACTAAACCTTGAAGGCCAGTCCCTAAACTGCCCTAAACTGTAGACATTCCAGAAGCCTCACCTCAATTCCGAGGCATGCCTGCTGCACGAAGAGGCCTAGGCCCGCTTCTGCGCCTTAGGAAAAGACGCAAACGGCGACAGAGATACAGCAACACGATCCGACCATACTATATCAAACGATGCTGCCCTGCTACTATGATACTATAACTGTCGTCGGAAAAGACTGTCATCATACTACAACTATACAGGAAATGTACAGGGAGACGGTTACAGCTGCAATCAGAACTCTATTCTTCGTTCTACATCTCCCTACAAACCCGACCGATGTAGATAGGTAGATCGAGAGAGAGAGAGACACAGAGAACGAGACAGAGAGCTTTGCAGATATAGACAGACAGATGAGAGGGAGACAGAGAGACATAAGATACACAGAACCATAGATAGGTAACCATATACAGGGAACTGCAGAAAGTTGGAATATGGTTTCATGGTAGGATCCCCTATAACTTCCCTTAAAGGGGTTACGATAATGAAATTCCAACTTTCTGGCTTCTACTGTAGCATATAGATTGATTGCATCCGCCGCTAAGTTTCAACTCCAGAGCCGGCCCAGCCCCGGGCCCAGCCGGGATGGAGCAACCTCGAGGGCTTTGGAGCCTTGACAAGCAGAGCGGGTTTTCGCAGAAAGCGTCAGGGTTTAAAGTAAAAGCCAGAAAGTTGGAATATGATTATCCTAAACCCTTTATGGTAAATTATAGGGTATCCTACCCTGAAACCATATTCCAACTTTCTGGAGTTCCCTTTAGGGTTTAGGGTTTTAAGGGTCTTCCTAAACCCTCAAAGAAGGTAAAATCATGACTCAGCACTTACAAAAGGCCGTTATGCTACATACTTTTGGGATTCAGGCTGTGTCTTGTTCAAGGCGCTATAAGGATTTCTATACGGGAACTTGAAGTAGCGGTTGATGGGGTTTAGGCTTCAGGGTTTGGGGGCATTCAGGGCTTAAAGAAACTCCGGAAGTCAAAGAAAGATCTATAACTCCAAAGTTCAATGTGGTGCTGGGGGTTTAGGCTTCATTTAAGCTCGAGACGTGCCGCAATACTGCCTGAATCCACAAACAGCCTCAGTGGACCCAGCCCAGACACAGCACTTCGAAAACAGCATGTAGCAGGTGTGGAGCAGCCTGAAACCTTGAACCCCAGACACCTTCTCAGCGTGCAGTGCCTGCTAGGGCGTGGAGGCGTACTTTGGTAAGCACCTGCGCCTGATGCTAAAGAGACCTCACAGCTACAGATACCTAGCCACCTACTCCAGGACTAGGGGTGTGCCCTACAGCGTTGAAAGCCGGAAGTGCCACCCACAAATGCAAAAGCCCTAAACCCTATAGAACCCTGAACCCTTGAAGTCAAGCAGGTGCGATTCTTGGTGCCTGCTTGATGATGTTCATCGCGAGGCCCGCTGCTCGACATGTCATGGGATGGGGTTTAGGGTTTAGGGTTTAGGGTTTAGGAGAGGAGTTTATGTTCACTTGAAGCTGACTCTTCGTCTTCTTACCACGACAAGACTCCAAACTAGGCGTTTCCAGCTTAGCTGGCATTTCATAGCGTCACGCAGCGTGAAATGCCGAACATCCATGCTAGGGCGGTCGCGATACATAAAGTACGGTCCCTAACCCTGAACACTATACCCCAAACCCGCGTCCCTTGCAGCTACCATTGCTTCTGTCCGGAGTAGGGCTGTCGAAGCTCCATGTGGAAGCGAAACCCATGCGACCAGAAGGGTTAAACGTGAGTGGTTGTTCGCCGGAGTCAACTGGCAAGCACGAGCCGACCGAGCATTTTGGGCTGAGTCTATAGGCATGCTATGAAAATCGTTGTAACTTGTCCAGAAATTAGTCATGGCAAACATCAAAAGATGATCGTAACAGATTGTCTCTGGGATGATCTCCTACTCATCCTGCTGTAGGCCAAAGACAGCTAGCGGTTTTCGGGATTGGGTTGTTCGCTTTAGTGGGCTTGCCTGCAGCAGCTAGAGCAGATATGGAACGTGCGATTGGGGTCAGAATGATCAGAACTAGCAATTACTATCGACTTATATTCCCCATGTAGTCTCTAGCTTATATACCCCTAATCGGCCTGGCTACGCGGAACCAGCCATTACCAAGTCACACTTTGAGTCACTTTGACTAGCTGGAGGGGTGGCTTCCCCCATATAATTACGGTCAAACCATACCGGGGCCTTAATAATTAGAATAGGGTTTTGGGGCGCGCTATACTACACTAAAAATAAGGAACTCCCAAGATAAGAGTGGTAATTAAAAGGCCCCTATGATATCCAAGCGCAGAAATCATCCCATTCGGTCTCTGGACTGGGTTCAGAGCCTGCCCGCTGCAACCACGCATTAAGTGAAAGCGGTACTGAAAGGATCATGGGACTTAGTAACTAGGGTTATAATTAGGGTATCTCTACTTACTTATAACCCCAATTAAGGTACTTATAACCTTACTTACTACGTCCCATGATCCTCCAAGTAGTGCCCTGGGACCTTTTGAAGCGCCGTGAATCAGGGTACCCCTCCCTGCCCGGCAGCGGAAGAAACGCAGCTTGCTTTGCAAGCCACGCCGGCGTGAGCTATAATAAAAAAACAAAACTTCATGCACCAGAAGCCCGGCATGCATCCCAGTCATGAGCGATCAGAAGCTGGGCAGAATGAAGATCTTCAACGACAAAGATCTTTTTTTGAATTGGGGACGACAGAAAGAACAACGAGAGCAACACGAAGATGAACGACCACATGAACAAACGACAACCACGGCAACAGCAACAGCAAATGTGACAGCAACAATGACGATGCATTCATTATCACAAGTCCTGAAACCTGTCAGTCGAAAATTCAACACCAAAATACGTAACTGCACCAATGATCTGTATAGATACGTATGTATATATATATATATACACACATATTCATGTATATCTATGGTTACTGATTTATTTGTATTTATACACGGGTAGCAAGTAGTAAGAAGCACGAAGAACGGGCGGAGAGACTTCAGCCCAGATCTGCGAGCAAGCTGAGTGCAAAAGGCATCCTGGCACCCCTCAGAAGCTCCGACCACCATCAGCCAGACAGGTTTGAGATAGTATATGATAGTACATGATAGTACATGATTCTTTTTAACGATAGTCTGCTATAGTAGATTATAGTGCGTTGTAGTATATCACAGTATATGATAGTATTGTACAAACAGGGTTGAGGGAGTTGGCAACTTAGGGCTTAGGGTTTGGCAACTTTTAAGATTTAGGCTTTAGGGGACTTGGCAACTTTCAGGGTCTAGGGCTTACGGCAATATAGGCTGACGGTTTTCTCTTGCTTGTCATTTCTTTTCGGCCTTGCTACAGTAAAGAATACCACTATGGTGAGATTTTTCAGGTTTACCTATGGAATCCATTGTGGTTCCTCTTTTTGTTTAACTATCTTTTTTTGATCCTCTAAGATAACCCCCCAAAAAGGAAGTACAATGGAGACTATAGGTAAGTTTTAAAGGCACTGCGCTTGTACAGGGGCCAAGTCTGTCCTGTCGAGATGCTCTCGAGGTATATCGACTGTTGGGGTCGGAAAAATTAGGAATAGTATCCGTTTTTTAGTAATATGTGAATGACCCAAGCTCTTTCAATATTAGCATCATATGCAATCTAAAGATTTCGAGGCCTCATCCGTCAGTGATGTTACGGGGTGGGGGTTAACTCGAAACAAGGTCAGCACAGTGAACAGAAACGAAACAACATCACCACAAGCCCTTATTTACCGTCAAGTTTGCCGTATATAAGGGTTGCGAGGTTCGCAGTCTGATCAGACGTTCAGGGGATTCGTTGCCTCTTGTACACCTTCACGTTCTCAAGGCTTACATACGATACTGCCGATGCTTGCTGTCACAATTTTGCCAAGCCTCCCCCTTGCCTTCCCCCACCCTCACCCCCACAGATTTGCTCCTGGATCCGCTACTTGCAATGAGCATTCAGGGACATAGGACAGGAACCATAGCCGACACATGAGAATGGACGGGCGGAATCTTCCCAAAACCAGCTCGAAACTCAAATTGAACCTGATCTTGCAGTGTAAAGGTTTAGTTGAGGTCGAGGTGTTCAGGCCTTTAAGGCCAGCCAGTTAAACGTCAGTCCCGTTGTTGCTTCATGCTGTGTCTGAATATTTCACCGATCGGTAAGGCGTGATATTATGACCCATGGATTCCTGGCTCTGTACAAGTTCTTCCGGATCCACTGCTTTTCGACGCTTGCCTTCACTTTCAGGCGAACTGCAGAGCATCCACAATCTTACATTGTTCGCAGGATCCAGACTTCCAAACCAACCATGAGGCTGGCAGACCGTTCTGATTTTATCGTATCTGTGCAGAGGCCTGCAGGGGGTCCGTAAGTTTATCTTTGTTCTGGTGTTGCATCACAGTGGTCTTCGCTGCACTTCTGAAAACGACCTCGCACCAACACCACTAATTGCAAGATTGCGTTTCACATGGTGTGGGGTCTGTTTACGAAGCTTATCGGCTGTCTCTTTGAATACTCTCAGGAGACGATCTATCTGTTGTTGTTGAAAACCCACAAGCCCTGTCTGTGATGGTAACAGCACCGAGGTTCGTGAGCGCGGTGGCTTTGCCAAGCGCTGGATGGAAGCCAGAGTGGAGCGGGCACCACAACCGCGAAAAGGCTGTCTAAATTCCTGAACCCTACAGGCCAAATCTTGTAAACCCCAACCCTATAAAACCCTTGTGGAACCGACCCGCTTATAGAAAGCTTACGGTAACCTATAAACCCCTACCACGTCTCTGGATACGTAATGATGGTGTCTCTTTTGGCCTTGCACCTTATAGCCGAACGGCGGGTCTCTGAACAGAGCTAGATTAATGCAAAAAGGTTAGGCTCTCGGGCTTGCGTTTAATCCTCATCGACATTCCCTCTGAATCCTACAGCAAAAACACAGACATGGATCAAACAAACCCATAAGAGAGGTCTCTGAAGCACCCGTTCGACGTTCGAGCCTAACTTCTCATTGCTGCGTCCCAAACCGGAAATACAAAACCTTCAGTCATCGAGAATAGGACCCGAAACTCTCAACGCGCAATTACACCGTTATCAATTTCGGTTTGGCCATTTTCAGGTTTTGCGTTCATAAGGGAGTTTCCGAAAATAGGGGACCCCAACATAATAGTAGGATCCTTACTATAAGGACTGCAAAATATGGTACCCTTACTTTCGGAAACTCCCATAACTCAGCAGTGAGTTGCCCAGTCTAAGGTCTCATGAAGGCTTCGTCCACAGACACACATTTGGGAGTTTCCAAAATTTCGGCTACCTTCTTTTGGGGTCCTTATAGTAAGGATCCCACTAATTTAGGGTACTATATTGGGGTCCCCTATTTTCGGAAACTCCCCTTTTAAGGGCAGCCTACGACTGCCAACACGCCTTCGCAGCATGGCTCACGCGCAGAAGGCTCTGAGAAGTCTTCAAATCCAGTCTGTTTCAATTTGATCTTTCCCAGGGCATCGTATAGAACTACTTGGGAATGTCAAATAGAAAGACTCGAGACCAACATTGCACGGACATGTTAAGGATGGCATGGGATAGTACAGTCTAGTACAGTAGAACATGGCATAGGATTCGATGGTAGAATATAGTATGGTCCAGTAGACAATAGTTTACGTATGGTGCACTATGGTTCCCGTAGTCTGCGGCAAATCATGGCACAGTATGGTGCAGTATAGCATGGTAATGTAGGGACCTGAATAATTAGAATAGGGTTTTGGGGGTTCTCTATCATAACTATAGTATAATGTACCCCCAAACCCTATTCTAATTATTAAGGCCCCCTACATTAGTAGTCTGGTAGGTAGAAGGAGTCTGGGAGTCAAGGAGAATAGGAGTGCAGGATAGTACAGAATACAAGCATCAAGTCGAGTAGAGCATAATAATGTATGAGTGCAGCATCGCATCCTATGGCATCGTATACTATTGCAGACGATTTGAAAAACTTCTCACTGTAACTACCTGCCTCGAGACCAACCGTCTCTGGCAGCATGGGATGGGAACCGGGCAGCCCGCGCGCCTGTGCAGCGTGGTGCCACCTCGAGTGCGACAGTTCCATGAAGCGACGCCTACAAAACTGGAGGAGATTGTGGCTTGAATCGGACTTGTCGCAACCATCGTCATCACAAGAATGCGTTCATCATTAACTCACCATCACCACCATCGTCGGAATCCGTCACGGTTTATCACCGTCGTCCTCATCATGAGTGTCATCATCAACAAGAGCGCCACCATCATCTTCGCCATCATTATCAATTATCTTCATCAGCATCACCACAACCATCATCCTCAGCCAGCTCCTCATGCTCCTCCTCCTCTTGATCATCACAATCGTCATCAGCATGCATTTTTCGAAGTGTACTCAGTGTACTCAGGTGACGGCACTTACACAAATACTTGTGTACATACGAAGGAAAATCACATACACTCACTACAGCATACCTACATACACACATCGACACATAGCTACTCATGTACAAACACAGCAGCACAAAGAAACACATGCACACACACAAACAAACAATCAACCAAGCAAGCCCAGAAATCAAAAAACAACTAGCTGAAAAACAAACCAAATAAGCAAAGAAACAATATGTGCCTACATACATACATACATACATACATACATACTTACATACTAGTTTACTTACTTATTTTCATACTCACTTACAGACATGCATACGTGCATACATACGGTACATCCGTAAACATGTACATACATAGATACATACATACGTACATACATACATACATACATACACACATACATACAACCATGCAGACACACATGCGTACATACATGCAAAAGTACATACATGCATACATACATACATCGATTTGCTAGTCTTTAAACCTGTGTCTCTGTCTGCCCGTCTATCTCTCTGTGTATGTACATTTGTACCTACCTAACTACCAACCACGTACCTACCCACCTGCTCGCCACGTGTTTTCGTCTATCTGTTCTTGTATGCATGTACATGTATGTATATACACCCACATATATGAATGTATCAATGCACGAATTTGTATGTGTATGTGTATGTGTATGTATGTATGTATGTATGTATGTATCCATGTATGTATGAGGTGGAGAAAGAGATGCTTTATGTGCCTGTCACTGTATCTGTTATTGTTGTCAGTTTACTCTGTTTCCATGTGTATATAGATGGTACACATGCATACATCCATGCGAGTATGTAGAACGAGACTTCGACACCAAACCCTCCTAGCCTGCGCCACCGACCCTGAACCCCTGAAGTGTAAACCCTACAGCCCTGCAGTTTAAACCATAAATTCTATGAGCCAGAGAAGCACTAGTACCCCTGAGCCTTTCAAAGCTCAAACCCTGCATCAGGAACCTACGACCTAGCAGCCGCATGAAAAGACTGCCTGAGAGTTCCCCATCTGATAGATTTATCATACCCACAACTCTATTCTCATTGTTAAGATCCCCCCCCCCCCCCCCCCCCCCCCCACTAAGAGAGGGCGCCTGGCTATCCCGGATCGGATCAGTCGCTTTGCATCTGCCAGCCTGGGAGAAGGAAGGGGGATGTGCAAAATGACCAGGGCTCCATGTGGGAGTTTCCGAAAATTAGGGGTACCTTGTCTTGGGGTCCTTATAATTAGGATCCTACTATTTAGGGTACTATACTAGGGTCCCCTATTTTCGGAAACTGCCATATGGGTGGTTGTCAATATTCGGGTCCCTTTTGGGGTCCCTATTATGATACGGCACCTAATATTTAGGGTACCCCAAAAGGGACCATAATTTTGACAACCACCCATACAATATAGGAGCCTTGCAGCAAGGGAACCCCCCACAAAATGCCCCTAAAACAACCCTCTAGGGTTTAGGTTTAGGGTTGGCATCAGGCTCCCACTGGCTCAGACGGAAATACGGCAAGACGACGGTAGCACCAACACGCGATTTTATGAACTGTTCTTAGGGTTTAGGGTTTAGGGTTCGAACTTGGCGGTAAGCGCCGTTCACAGAAAGTGCTGTTAACATCGCAAGCTTGTGGGCAGCTTCGATAAGCACCCAGCTCTGGATCGTCGGGTCATAGAAAACCTGGGTACCATCCTGCACAGAGCTGGGTGGTGTTGGACACCATTTCACAGAGGAAAGAGAGGACAATAACATAGACCCTAGTTACACCCTTTGTCGATGTTTCTGGGTTGTCTTAGGGTGCCAAAGCACTTCATGAACCAAACACATGTCGGGAAGTGTCCAGTTTCACGATAAGTACAATCAGGCTCGGGTTCTCTAGTAGGACTGCTACGGAATCAATCCCTCAACCCTAACCTTCCCTCTTTCTGCTGCATCCTCATAGTGGCAGAGAGCCTATAACGGCAGTCTTTCAGAGACTGTGTTGTGGTTCCCTCCCAAACCCAACACAACGGTTACGACCAGAGGAACCTCCAAGCCTCAGGCTTCAAACCCCAAGCCCATAAACCCTAAACACCAAAGCCCTAAACCCCTAAACCCTAAACCCCTAAACAGCTCAACCCTACACCCCATAAACCCTAAACCCTATAGATCCCTTTAAAGGAACCCCTATAGATCCTCCCCCAAGCCCCTAAAACCCCTAAAGCGCTCCAGGGACCGGCAACAATTCGTGGAACCCCTGGATTCGATGCATCATTGGACCCCAGAGGTACAGGGAACTCCAGAAAGTTGGAATATGGTTTCAGGGTAGGATACCCTATAATTTACCATAAAGGGTTTAGGATAATCGTATTCCAACTTTCTGGCTTTTACTTTAAATATATCTTAGAATCTGCCCCCACCCTGTAATAGTGGTATAATAGGAATATGATAGGGCCCTACTAGAATCCTTATAGTCACTACTACAGGGTGGGGGCAGCTTCTAAATTATATCTTACTATTACAAAATTAATATATGGCATAGGTCCTTAAATGTTAAATGTACTTATTAATCTAAACGATAAGCTAGCCCCGAGATGTAGGGTTTGTGGGGTCTGCATCCGGGTGGCTGTCAAAATTAGAGTCCCTTTTTGGTTCCCGAAAAAATACGGCACCTAATACTTAGGGCACCCAAGAAGGAACCTTAATTTTGACAACTATCCACATACAGTGAAGGTTTAGGGTTGAGTGGCCTAGGGGTGTAAGGTTTTAAGGTTCCAATTCGGCCAGTGCGACAGCCGCTCATTATGGGGCTTTTCAAAACGATGTTCCTTTCGAGGATTCTTAGGCTAGCGAACTTTAACAACTCTTTACTTCTTACTCAGCTTGGAACCGAGAACCCTGTTGGTCGAGCAAGTAACCAAGCCCCAAGCCCTAAACCCTATTACAAGACCCTCTTAAACACGAACGCCTAGGCCCCACACGCTGAATTCAATACCCCAGGCTCCCCGGGGCCGAAACCCTAACACAAAGGCAGGCCCCAAACCGCGTGCCTGGAGGTTCGCTCGCGTGGCCTCTCGAATCTCGAGCTGAAACACCGAACAGGTTCCCTAACTTTCACGTTAGGTACCTCAATAAATTGAAATTCATAGTGATTGACTGGCTTTCATTATATACGGCCAATGACTACTCACCTACGGTTTTTTTGTGCCTGGAGCCGGAGGGGCCAGGGAAGGGGCTTTGCGGTTTGGCCCGTAGGGCGTCAAGAAGCTCAAGTTTTAGGGTTTAGGGTTTTAGGGTTTAGGGTGCACAGATGTATCTACGAAACTGCTGTGACCTACAGATGAGTCGACAGAGGGTCGTTGAGGCAGTCATTCTCACTCAAATTCATCGAATCCAAGCAGCTATGTATGCACGTATGTGTGTATGCATGTACGTATGCGTATACATATATATATATATATATATATATATATATATACATATACATATATATATATATGTATATATGATAACATTTTTATAGGGACACCCATGTACATACCTGATACATAAATGTATACATACATACCCAAATACCTACATACATACACACTTGAGAACTCAACCGAAGCTGTTTGCTGAGACGGCAGTTAGACTCTAAAGGGAACTCCAGAAAGTTGGAATATGGTTTCAGGGTAGGATACCCTATAATTTACCATAAAGGGTTTAGGATAATCATATTCCAACTTTCTGGCTTTTACCCTAAACCCTAAACCCTAAACCCTGTAGGATATCTGAAACCTGGATATGTGTCCATTGCGTCTCGCGGCTTCCTCAGCTTCTCCTCTCATGACTACTGCAGGGGCGGTTTAGGGTTTAGGGGTTTAGGGTTTAGGGGTTTAGGGTTTAGGGGTTTAGGGTTTAGGGGTTTAGGGTTTAGGGGTTTAGGGTTTAGGGGTTGGGGCAAGACGAGCAGCCAGCAGAGGCGAGGCTGCGTGCGAATGTCAAGTCTGGAAGCCCAGGCTGGGGTGCAGGCTGAAGGAGTGTGGCTCGACGGAGCCGAACGATAACTCAATTGCAGATCCCCGGGAGCTGGCTAACAAAGGGCAAAGGTTAAAGTAGCGTTTTGGTGCTCATTATCAAATTATACTATAGTTACAATAAGAACCTTCCAAAAAAGATAGTATGGGTAATTATTGAGGCCCCGATATTAAATCGACGATCTGGCCTTATCATGGGCTCGATATCCATGAGGGCAAAGCATCTCGCAAAACTCCAGGACGCCCAGCGTCCTGGCACATCGATCCCGGAATTCGGATGGTGCTGTATATCTGATGTTGACAAATGGCTTTGAATATGAGATTTACATACTTCATATACTTCTCACAATCGAACGGAGAACCCGTTGCACATCCTCTAAGAGCGCAGCATATCCAGGACATGCTGCGGGTACTCGGCAATCTTGGGATTGGAGCATGAACCGACACTACCGTGCAAACCAGGGAAGATGTATTGATGATTAGTGCTTCCCTACGACAATAAGTCAATTGGCACAAGGGTCAACGTCCATGGCAGGACCACCATCAACTCCTCTGCACATGTCACCTGAACTCTGCCCTTTTGCCCATGTGCAAACCTTATCTGTCTGGTGCTTAGCTGGGAATGAGGGAATGGATCCCTATGATAGCCCCTTGAGGTCCCCTATAGTAGTCCCAATAACCCATTCCCCTATTCCCTGCTAAGAACCCGACAGTTATGCTGATATGAATGATAATCAGATAATCCCGACCGAACGGCAACACGGCCGGCTTCCAAGCGACAAAGTGCCCGAGTGAGGGGTCGTCTTGGCCCAATGTAGAATTCTGCACGCATACACTCAAACATGTGACGAGCACCCGTCGCCATCCACATCATACTGCTCCATTAGCAGATCCACCTGTCATCGCTGTCGGTCTGAAGGTTCGCTTGACGAAAGTGAGCCTAGCTTACACGTCCGTCGACAGAGACGACGACACCCCCACCACGCTGTACGGGCGGACAGAAGGGTCCGGAAAGCTTGGACAAGCGTCGCTCTCAAAACGTTGCCAGTGCGACCTACGGACCTACTGCTGCGATACAGTGCCAGAGTCTTCTAGAGGCTGTGCACAGTGCCACTCGCTCCGTACTTGTCTAGTGAAAAAGCAGGTCGAGAAGCATGTGTGCGCAATGTATACCTATGCACATATGTACTTATCTGCTTATTTTTTATTTACACATGAAGAATATGTGTATGTATGTATGTGTATGTAAGGTGCGGTACAGACTCACACACCCCCCGGGCACAAAAAACAATCGCGCAGACACACACAGACGCCGAGAGCCCACGAGTGCGCGGAGAGCGAGAGGAAGAGAGAGACAGACAAAGAGAGAGAGGGAGGGAGAGAGACAGAGAGAGAGAGAGGGCACAAAAGGGCGAGAGTGTGGCTATCGCGCAACCACTCCGGACTTTGAGCCTACGTCATCTACCTTTTGTATGCCTTTCAAAGTTCTCAGCATGATGCCATGTTACCATCGTCACACCTGCTGCTGCTGCCGCTGCCGCCACATGCTGTCTAGTTGTGGTTACAGGCATCTCTAGAAACATCTTCGTCATGCTGGCTTTCTGATTCTTCTAGAGGCCAATGGCTGTGCTGTGGATATTAGATTTGGCGTCTCGATTCCTTAGATCAGGGTTTGTGGTTTATATAGTCTTTATTGTAGTTCCTTTTGTGGTTTAACCAAAAATATAATTAGGATCCTATAAGGTAACCCCCAAAAGGAACTACAATGGAGACTACAGGTAGGTACACGTTCCTCCGCATGCGGAACCCCTAGGCCCTCAACCTTAGATGTACGGGCCTGCGGCCCGACATCTCCAAACTCCAGAGCTCTACCTATAGTCTCCATTGTAATTGCTTTTTTTGTTTAACCAAATTTGTAATTAGGTTCCCATAAGGCAACCCCAAAGAAGAAACTACAATGGAGACTATAGGTAAACCCAGAAAAGCAGCAAGAAACACAACAAGCACCAGAACGCCCGAGTGTAAGTCCAACATCCTCTTTCCCAAGCAGTGCCTCTGAGGGGTTCAGCAGTCCTGAAGCCAAGATCTCACTTGCCTGGCAGGCGATGGAGCAGGTTGACTCCCATTTGGGAGTTTCCGGAAATAGGGGACCCTAATATAGTACCCTAAATAGTAGGATCCTTACTATAAGGACCCCCAAAATAAGGTACCCCCATTTTCGGAAACTCCCATTTAGAGTCAAGAGTTGTAGGGTTGAGGAGTTGGGGCCCAGTACAGGGGCCTTACGGTTGATGATAAGAGTCCTGCATTACCCATAATAAGGAATGTACCATAGTTCCCATAGTTTAGGGTCCTTAAGGTAATGCAGGATTTGTATCATCAACCGTAGTACTTGGAATAGGGATTTGCGGGGCCCATTATTCTAATAAGGAATCCCCAAAATAGTATGGGCAACTATTTAGGCCCCTATAATGTCAGTTCAGGGTTCAGGGTTGAGGGATTTTAGGAAATCGGGTCTCCAAATGCCCCAACCGACAACTCAGGAGTGAAAGTCCCACGGCAGCAGCCCACCTTGAGTTCTCCATCATGGTCAACATCGAAGTACCTCGGGATGCTCAAGTCAGAGAGCACGATACAGATTCTCCGCAAGAGACTAGTGGCAGTATCAGAGATGTCGTCAACTGATACACAAGTGGGGTAGTTCCAGTTTGCAGGACTTATAGCCCCAAATCGGACAGACTTAGCAAGTCCTGATTTTGGAAACCGGGTTTTCAGAAGAGAATCAGACAACCGACTTCTGGTTCCAGAGGCTGGCTACAGGCCCTCTAGGCCAAAATACACTCCCGATGGCCCATACCTAGTTTGGGATCGGGGTGCCGTGGGACTTCTTTACACGCCCTACAATTTTCCCTACACCCCAACGCTGTATAAGACAAAGAACACGAAAACAAGTTGGCGATCCGTGCTTGTAGTTTCCTTGTTCGGCATACCTACAGTCTCCATTATAGTTCCTTTTCTTTGGTTTCACCAAATACCTAATTAGGACCCTATAGGGTCACCCCAAAGCGGTACTAACCGACTGGCAGCATCCGTGCGGCAAGGATGGCAAGGTTCCCAAAGCTGTAGAACTCTTCCATGGCCCACAGCTTAAAATCACAAGCCCCGAAATCTTACGATATGTAGCATGCGACAGAAAATCTAAAATAGCATCTATCAGAACATCTAACATGTGTAATCTACAACATGTATACTAGATATAACCAGTAAACATAACATACTATATTCCCATACACTGAAATATACTATACTATGCAATACGATAATGCAATGTATTGCTGTATGTACTTTGCATATTGTGCAAGATATAAGAGTTAATGGTCATATGCAAGAGTATATACATGCCTGACATTATGAAGCATGGAACAAACACATGCAACATTGTATTAGATATTAGTTGACTGAGCGCTATACATAATAATATGTACATGTGTATATATATATATATATATATATATATATATATATACATACACATTTGCACAAAACGATCTGTGACACATATAAGATATATTAATGCAATATGTAATATGTTCTATGCTATAAACGACTTTAAGATGGAACCGCCAAAGCCAGAAGCCAAACAGGCCAGCTCGCTTGAAGACACACTGCAAGTCTTCCAGTTGAGCCTGCAATGCCGTCTTCAATGTCATGCCGATCGCATATATGCTCACTATGATGAATGGCTCTGGTTCCTGTTGAATTCCTGCTGTCATGACCTACCACTGCTACGATTAAGGCTATGACGACAATGCCCACAACGACGACTGTCGCAGCGACAACTGCCTTGATTTTGCTCGCGGAGCCCTGAACTTGACTTAGACGCCAATACGCGAACAGAAACAGCCGAAGCAACTGCAAAATCGACAGACATCTGCAGCTCTGTCGGCCCGTTCAGCTCCCAGCACCCACCCCGCTATTCTGCATCAAACCCCCGGAAGCAACTCTCAGGAGCAGCCTCCGGCAGCAGGGGTGGTGTGGTCACGATCCTCCTGGAGGTTTAGGGATTATGATTAAGGGCTTCGGGTGTTGTTCTGTTGCTCCGGCAAAGGCCAGCCCGACTGGCACTGGTGTTGCGATGGCCTTCATAGTTCGTTGAGGGCGAGATATGCGCTAGCTAATGAGACTGTTGCATTATTGTCATTATTGTTGTTGTGGTATCTGACACCTGTCCAGGATGTGCAGCGCCGGTTGTCTAGATTCACAGCAGCGTCCTGAAAACAGCCGAGGTGAATATCTCCAGTCTTGGTTTCATGAAATCCTTACTTGATCTTGCTTTCATGTGAACTTTACTTCAATAAGGTAGCACATGCGAAGCAAGCATGCCAGGCTCGCTGGACCGTCAAGACCTGTTTAGAAGCTGAGGAGACAGGACAGGCTCGCACGGCTCAGGGAAGCAGGGCCAACTTGCCTGAAACCTTGCTACAGCTATTTTCCAGTAGGCAGACTCCTGTCCAAAGATGCGGACAGTTCCGTGCCCCACCTGGCAGACTTTCATGTCATTCGGATTCAGGGTTTAGGGTGACTCATCCCGGCAGGGCGACTGGGAAAATCGTCAAGAGTCAGGCGCCTGAACAAAGTCGAGGACGATGGCAACAAACTCTCGGCTAGAAACTCGGGCTTACCCCCTACAATAGTAGCATGGCTAAGTATGGTATGGTACAGAAGAAGACCATGGGATTGATAACACCATGGTACAGAAGAAGACCATGGTTTCGATGAGGATCCCAACACTCTACAGGGAACTCCAGAAAGTTGGAATATGGTTTCATGGTAGGATACCCTATAATTTACCATAGAAGGGTTAGGATAATCATATTCCAACTTTCTGGCTTTTACCTTACACCCACGGACCGAAGCGCTTCCGAAATCGAGACCGACAGAGCCTCGCTACTAGACCCCCCCCACACCTTTGATCTTCCGTGCGAGAGCAAAACCCTAAAGCCTAGACTCTAAACCCTAAACCCTCTAAAGCCCTTCCGAAGCCAACACTCCGAAGTCTCAAACCGACCGCACCTCGATCCAGCTGGAACTGGGGGGGTGGGGGGGGGGGGGGGGGTACTTGGAGCTATCTTCGTTTGGCAGTGAGCTTTGAACCGCGCGACTCAACACCTAAAACTACGAGCCTTCGCATCTCCGCCAGACTCGTGATCTGCGCAGCAGGCCAAAGAACCCGCATCATGTCCTGCAGAGGGAACTCCAGAAAGTTGGAATATGGATTAATGGTAGGATACGCTATAAATTACCATAAAGGGTTTAGGGGTTTAGGATAATGATATTCCAACTTTCTGGCTTCTATACTGTAAGAACAGAATCAAAGAATCAAAGTAGGGTGAGGGTTTGTACAGTTTAGTAAGCATTCGCAATGGCTGCTAGCTTAGGGGCTTTATCATTATTGTGATGTGCTTGTGCATGTACACGTTCAGAACTTCTCCGGAACTCCAGAACAGCGTCGAAGGGGCTAGCATCGACTTCTGCATTGTCATGAAATGTTGACTAAACACACACACAGATATCGAAAGAGATGCATAGGTTCTGACACCTGACCCTTCTGAGCTGATCATAAGCCGCTACTTGCCACCCTTAGCCGTCGTCCGCGGCTTTGCGGAGTGCCGGGGGAGGGGGACCATACACTGATCCTGCAGGTTCCAATCCCTATCCTACCTATAGTCTCCACTGTAGTTCCCTTGGGGGTTACCACAAGGGAGACTATAGGTAGTGCTAAATAATTGGCAAGACGCTGCATTACCCTAGTTGCCTTAGTTATCTCTCCTATACTATGTTATGGATCAAGCAAGACATTTTTCATCAGCAGTGATTACCAAGAGTAGCAAGGGCCGCAGACGGTCTCTCCGAGTGGCGACCTTTGCTCCCATGACTGAAACGGGAGCTTCCCAAAATAGGAGACCCTAATACAGTACACTAAATAAATGGATCCTGTTTATAAGGACCCCCAAAATAAGGTACCCCTGATTTTCGGACACTCCCCAATGAGTTGACGGGGCACAGGATGGACAGCGTAACATAGAAACAACAATGCTGCAGGAACAGGGGTTCAGCCCACAAAGCTTTTGAACCACGAGTTTGCTCTGCAGCACACGTTCCAAACATTTACACCGAGGAACGGCAGTTTTCGGATCCAACTTACGACAGCAAGCGACAAACACGGGCACCTCCAGCACGAAGGAACTTTTGACACCCAGCAACACCTCTCGATTCGGATCGGGTTTCGGGCATGTGATGGGGGGCAAACTTACTGGCGACTGCTCTTGCTCTCGCTGAAATTTCTTCCGAAGTGGCTCTCGTGCCTTTCTGGCAATCTAGGTTTGATCAGGTACGCTTCGGGGCAGAGGCCTTTGCAGAAGGTTCCTCTTGAGTTGCTTCGGTTGATGATATAAATCCTGCATTGCCTTAAGGACCCTAAACTATGGGAATTATGGTATATTCCTTATTATGGGACCGTTTCTCCTATGAGTTGGCCCAAAGGAACCCCGATCTCCAGGCGCTCCCACCATGCAAACCACAGGTCCTTATACTATACTTTAGAAGCTGCCCCCAGCCTGTAATGGTGACTATAAGGATTGTATTGGGGCTCTATTTATATTCCTATTATACACTATTACAGGGTGGGGGCCCCTTCTAAACTATACCCTTCTGGAGTGGGGCATTCTGTGCATTCCAACAGGCCACAGTAAGCGGGTGGTCCGTATTCTAGGAAGCGGTGTTGTGACGGGCGTAGCACTGGTAGTTTCATCTTTAAGCCCCCGACTACGCCTCAAATCAATAGCTAAAAAATGCGCTGGACCCCAGACAACCTTCAACCCTCTTAACTTACCCGTCTTGAGGCTTAACCCCGAAGCCAGTTAGACATGATCCTATCAGTACTTGATATACGCAGATATCCCTGTGAAGCGCAAGAGCCCAAGCTCATAACCGAAACTCTCGAACCCCAGAGCAAACACTCGCACAACACCCGGTAAACACAGAGTGTCAGAGCGACTCCACACCGTTTGGTGCATAAAACCCTACAAGGCGCTTCAGTGCCTGCAGAATAGACCCTCTGAAATCAATCCCTCAAAAAACACCTACCAAAGCTTGCCTCAACCTTAAACCCTACACCCCTACATCCTTAAGCCCTACACTTAAGGCCGAAACCCCGAACCCTAAACCCGAAGCCGAAACCTGACCCTACACCTCTAAGCCTCTTAACCCTTAACCCCTAAACCGCACAATAAACCCCTAAACCGCACAATAAACGCTTAAAACTCATAATAAACCCTAAACCTCATGATAAACCCCTAAACCGCACAATAAACCCCTAAACCGCACAATAAACGCTTAAAACTCATAATAAACCCTAAACCTCATGATAAACCCCTAAACCGCACAATAAACCCCTAAACCGCACAATAAACCCCTAAACCGCGTAATAAACGCTTAAAACTCATAATAAACCCTAAACCTCATGATAAACCCCTAAACCGCGCAATAAACCCCTAAACCGCTTAATCCACAACCCTGAGCAAAATGTGACCGAAGCCCGAAGCCGAGCCTGCTCAAGGGTCTTTAGGAACCTGCTGACGACGCGAGGCACATCCTCCCGCAGCAGCTTTGGGATGAAGTATTTCAGGCTACTACCGTAGGGGTTTATGGTTTAGGGCTTTGGGATGAAGTATTTTTTGGGTCTACTGTAGGGGTTGAGGGTTTAGGACTTTGGGATTTGGGGATTTAAATTGTTTTAGATGTTTGGCGGGTTAATTTAGGTCTTAGGGTTGAGGCTTCGGGTTTAGGGTTTTAGGGCTTACAGGGTTTATCGGGTTCAGGGCCCCTTTTGCTCGAGATGTCAAGCCTTGGGAGCGCCTGGCGCAACACCCGGAAGTATCCCTGCTTTTCAAACCTCAACTTCGAGGTTCATGGGTAGTTATAAGTTTTAGGGTTTAGGGTTTAGGGTTTAGGGTGGGCTTATAAGTCCCTTAATAGGGGTTATAACTATAATTACGGTATAACCCCACTTATAATAACTACCAATGAACCTCCAAGCAACCCTGGCAAACCTCAACCCCGGTGCGCTCAAGCTCAGGGTCAGCCAGTAAACAAAATTCTGTCGCGCTCAGCTACAACTTCTCGCGCCCTACAGTAGATGCACAAAAGTTTGAAACCCAATAGCGTCAATCCTTAAGAGTACTGTATAGGGTATGCCAGCACGATTTGGCCTAAAGCCGGTTTCCAACCTTATTGGGTTTACTGTAGGAACTGAAAGACCGAACACTGAAGGCCACAATTTGAGCGACTTTGCCCGCCCTGATTCCAACCACTGCTCGGGTTCCTCAACTACCCACAGGAGCCTGAATAATTAGAGTAAGATTTTGGGTCACATTATACTATAATTATAATAAGGAGGTTCCAATATGTATGTTGATTATTCAGGCGCCTATATGCACGTTATAAATATAGAACTATAATTAGGAACCCCCCAATATGTATATGAATTATTCAGGCGTCTATACGTCGTACCCACCTCCTCGGAGCTCATGGCAGCCCACTCGGGGACACCCTCGGGAACACCTGTGCATTCTCGAGGAGTCTTGATCGACCCGTTTAGGGTTTAGGGTTTAGAGCATTCCCAGTCCGATTTTTTGGGAAACAGACATCTTCGAAAGTATCAGAACATCCTGTTCAAACATTTCTCGCATCTTCGTCACGACAGCAGCGAAAGTCAAGAGCCTTCAAAGCTAAGGTGTCCGTATCTTACATAGAGTGACCGCTCATGGACTTACAAGCAACTACAAAACCAATAAGCCATTGATCCCACCCTTCCTGAACCATTAGCCCTGATAACTTGCACATACAGCCGCACATGAATCTTCTCCGCGCCAAAAAGATACCTGTAAACAGTATGACCAAGCATGAGGACAGCGGTGATTTGGTATGAACTCTTTCCTGCTGCTTTCTGCTCGGATCTGATCTGCTCTAACCTGACCACGGTCTCTTCACGGCGCGATGGCTACAGAGTAAGGCACAGAGGGCTGAAGTTGAGGCAGTTTCTCTTTAGTTCTCCTTCTGAGGCGTTAAAGCTGCCAAGTCCCCGGATCTTCTGGCTTTACTGCTCAGAGCGCCAACCCTAAACCGCCGAAGCCCTGCAAACTCTAAACTTAACTTAAACATCCAAACTCTAGACCCTTATGAAACCAATAGCCGAAATTAACTCATATACCCAAACACAAACCCTGATACCCAAACCACACAAAGCCCTGACTTAGTACGGTCTTACTTCCCGCATCTTCCGCAAACCTCCTTCCGGCTGCGCTGCCAGAAGGGCCTGGGAATGGCAGACATGGGTGGTTGTCCAAATTCGGGCCCCTTCTTGCCTACCCTAAATATAATACTAGGTGCCGTACTATATTAGGGACCCAAAAAGGGACCACCCAAACAGGGACCACAATTTTGAGAGCCACTCAAATGGGTCGAGACTAGGGCTTCGGCTTTAGTTTCTGTGGTTAAGCTCGCCAACAATCCTGGGCTTTCTGAAACAGCATAACAACGATGGCAGGCTCAGGCCGGGAATGGAACAACCCATTCAATGTACAGCAGCTAGGAACTCGTGTTGACGAGCCCGACAACATGGTCCTCACCTTCTAGCTCTTGAAACCATCTTGTCCAAGTAACGGCGGACAACCAGGCCATGAACCCTCAATCCCATCCTCCGACCGAAAGAAAATATCTGACAACATCAGCGAATTACCCAAACGACTAAGTCTCTTTTTTGTATGTGTTTACGATATACCCTATTTGCATATCCTCCCTAACTTGCCATGAAGATTACGAGTTCATACGAAACAACGAGCTAGTCGCTTTTGTGTCCTTTCAAAAATGACGAACCTGATTCATCTTGTCCCAAGTTATCAGCATTCGCAAGACTTGCCACTGCGTCGCGGTGCGTTTGTGAGTCTCAGTGCATAAAGCCAGTAGATGGATAGAGCCTCTACATCTCATGTTACAACCTTGAAGACGAGTTGAACCACAGCATTTCGAATCGTAAAACGTTGCAGCATCGCGTCCGAACATGCCGTGTAAAATGGCATATTCAGCCTCTAGACAACTGGAACTTGCGCGGATCGTGCAGAAAGCAGCGCAAGTTCATCGCAAGGCTGTAAGGTTGGTTCGTTTAAGAACCACCAACTGCAAAAAATCTTTCTCTAGGACTTCGGGCTGAGTTTGCTGGAGCTGTTTGAAATCTCTGCCTGTGGCTAAACAACAATTCCTAGAATCGTTTGCCTCTTGTCCAGATGATGATAGCCCTGGCACTCCTCTCAAGAGGCCGGACGGTCTCCTCTCTCTCCCCGATAAAACTGCGTTTTGAAAGCACGTGTCTATATGGTAGCCATCTACACATACATGCATGGAATGTGATCACAATACTGCAAGATTTCCTCGTGTGGCCGAGCTTTAACTTGAAGCTATGGGGCCTATGCGGTCTCATCGGTAAGTGAACCTTATTAGAAGCACACACACACACACCCACACACACACGTGTGTGTATACATATATATATATACACACATTACATTACATTGATTTGCAGTTCAGTACAGTACAGTACATGCGTACATGTCTAGGTATATATGTGTAGATGCATGCGTCTGTGTGTTTGTGTGTGCGTGTATGAAAGTATGAGTTTATGTATGTATGCATGTATGTGTCTATGTCGGTACATCGATCTATCTGCTTATTTATCGATGCATATTGTATGTATGTATGGATGTATTTGTGCATATGTGCATGTGGATATATGTACATACACACAGCGCATCTTTCAGTCCTGTTTATACACTTGTTTCTCTGGACGTGTACATGTGTATATGCAACTACATAAGTATGTGCGTATACATGCTTGCCCGTATGTAGGTCTACATACCCATATATAAGCATGGCTGTATGCATGTATGTGTGCACAATAGGTCTATGTAAATGTGGCTATATATATTTAGCATTTAGCTAGAACCCACATTCAAGACAGATAACCGGGTGCCTTTGCCAGGTCGGTCATCCTCGCTTCTGCAAACGGACGGAACTCCGAGAAGTCGCACCCTCAGTGAGTTTCAATGATTGGTACTAAATTGAAGAACTTTCCTAACAGCCAAGAACCGGCTGAAAACCAAAATTTTGCTCGGAAGCTGATCCTTTGCCATGCAGACTTCTAGTTAATCAATCTTCTGAAACTGCAGTTGTGCCAGGGGATATTCTTGTCCACACTTCGCACTGTCCAAGCCTATCAGTTCACTGCCTTCCTCAGCATCACTGTCTTCATGACCACGGCGGCCACGAGGACGACCACTGGAACGACGGCAGGGACGACTACTCGAGGCTGTTGCTCCTGCAGTGGACGACAACGACCTCTACTCCTGAACACTGTTGCTACCACTGCTACTTGGTACCCGCCCTAAGTCGCCTCACGCTGCCAACAGTCGCAGCACGGCCGGCTTCCCCCATTGTGACGCGCGAACCGGCGAAAGTCACAGCACGCGCCAGAAAGTCACAGCAAATTTGTAAATCCCCATTGTGACGCGCGATTTGACATGGCCGTGCCGCAGCAGGAAAACTGTGCGATTCGATGGAAATGCTGCGACAGCCCTGGGAATATGTGGGAGGATGCACACGAAATCCATATCCCGAACATATAGGGCATCTGGCGTTCCTGAAGTAGACGCTCGATTTCACAAGCATGCCCGCCAGACACACATCAGTCACATCAGTGTCCACATAACACATACAAAACAACCAGCCCCCATGTAGACGCTCGATTTCGCAAGCGCGTGCAAAAGACACACATCAGTGGCACAACATGGCATTTCGTCACGTCCAAACCAGCCATTCCCCATGTAGACGCTCGATTTCACAAGCGCACACAAGAGACACACATCAGTGGCACAACATGGCACTTCAGCACGTCCGAGCCAGCTATACCCACGTCATGACAATGCGTTTCCGCAAGGTGACGCTGCACAGGTGAAGAACGGACCCTGAGATGCATGATCTTATACCTGCGTGCTGCGGCTCGGTTTTTGCAGGCTTCAGCAAGTGCACACCTCCGGGGACAGGTGAAGAACGGACCCCGAGATGCATGCACGTATACCTGTGTGCTGCGGCTCGTTTTTGCAGCCTTCTGCAAGTGCACACCTCGGGGGACAGGTGAACAACGAACTCTGAGATGCATGATCTTATACCTGCGTGCTGCGGCTCGGTTTTTGCAGCCTTCTGCAAGTGCACACCTCCGGGGACAAGTGAAGAACGGACCCCGAGATGCATGTAATTAACCCGCGCACGTGCTGCTGTTGGTATTTGCAGCCTTCTACTGGCCAGGGAGCCTGGCAGAGGTTTAAACTTGTGTGGTGAGTGGCGCAATTCGCGTAAGCTGCGCGTAAGGTGCGCGTAAGCAGTGCGTAAGCGGCGCCCTCCGTTGCCAACCCAGCGCCCAGCAGGAGGAGTGGCAGTGACGCAGTGACAGTCGCAGTCAGTGGTAGCAGTGGCAATGGCAGCGGCAGTGGTCGTGGGCGTGGTGGCAGCAGCAAGCAGCAGCAGCAGGAGGAGGAAGAGCAGCAGAAGAGTAACACCAGTGCTTTGAAAGCAGTTTTAGGCTTGATGTCCAAAGCCTCAAGGGCGATTTAAGAGCCATTCCCAATTTCACAAGCATGCCTACGAGACACATCAGTCATATCGGTGGCAGCTTAGCGCATCAAACCCAGTCGATCCCCATGTAGACGCCCGATTCACAAACAGGCGCTCAAAACACACCTCAGACATCAGTGGCATCGCAGCAAACAGCACATCAAAAGCACCCATTCCCCATGTAGACGCTCGATTTTGCAAGCAGCAGCTCAAGAAACACATCAGTGGCATCACAGCAAACAGCACATCAAAAGCCACCATTCCCGATGTAGACGAGAAACACATCAGTGGCGCCACAGCAAACAGCACATCAAAAGCAACCATTCCCGATGTAGACGCACGATTTTGCAAGCAGCAGCTCAAGAAACACATCAGGGGCATCACAGCAAACAGCACATCAAAAGCACCCTTTCCCGATGTAGACGCTCGATTTTGCAAGCAGCCGCTCAAGAAACACATCAGCGGCATCACAGCAAACCATGTAGAGGCTCGATTTTGCAAGCAGCAGCTCAAGAAACACATCAGTGGCATCACAGCAAACAGCACATCAAAAGCCCATTCCCCCTGTAGACGCTCGATTTTGCAAGCAGCCGTTCAAGAAACACATCAGCGGCATCACAGCAAACAGAACATCAAAAGCACCCTTTCCCCTTGTAGACGCTCGATTTTGCAAGCAGCCACTCAAGAACCACTTCAGACTTCAGTGGCATCGCAGCAAAGAGCAACAAAGCCAGCCTTTCTAGTTTACCAGCATGTCCCAGGATTTCGATGGACGCGCTTTAGCAGAATCCCCAACTGCACACTGGACCTGGGACGTCTTAGGGCCTGGACCGTGGAAACAAACACCGCAGATCAGCATCTTGAAAGCCTTTCCCCCATGTAACAAAGCTTCCCCCGAAGGTCTGGCGCTGCCACGAACGAAACGCAACGACTTTCCCAACTGGGAGTAATTATACAAACAAGCATGCCAGATGTCATCGAAGAAGTGCATGGTATGGTTTGACACTGCGTTTCCGCAAGGTGACGCTGAACTAACAAACATGCAAGACGTCATCATGTATGGCTTGACACTGTGTTTGCGCAAGGTGACGCTGCACAAACAAGCACGCAAGAAGTCATCGACATAGTGGATTGTGTGGCTTTGCAATGCGTTTCCGCAAAGTGACGCGGGATTGTTGCGACTTTCGGCGGTGCGCGGCGACTTAGGGCAGGCACCCAGTACTAATTACGACGACGACGACGACGACGACTACTACTACTACTACCACACTGCTAGTACTCCTACTACTGCCCCTGCTGCTGCTGCTCCTTCTCCTCCCGCCCGCGTTGCTGATGAGACGACGACGGCGACTACTAGCACTGCTACCACTGAGCTCCGACCCGGCCTCTGAGCCCGAAGCCCTCTTGGAGGATCATGGGACTTAGTAAGTAAGGTTATAAGTAATTACCTTCATTGGGGTTATAAGTACTTATAAGTAGAGTTATCCTACTTATAACGTATACACCGTCAACCTGAAACCCTGAAGCCTAAAACCCCAAAATCCGAAACCCTCGCGTGCAGGGTGATGGATTGCCAGGTCACTGGGCGAACCGTCTAAAACGGTGGAAGTATATCTATCTGTGTGTATGTATTACACTATAAATAAATAGATATATATATATATATATATATAATGCCATTAGATATCTGCCATTGTGTATACACATAGTTATGTATGTATGTAGCACTCGGTTAAGGGGCGCTTCAGGACGATGAGGAACCCTAGCTGAGGGATCTAAGGGTCGGGACAAGGCGTGTGGAGTTAAGTGTCAGACGACCAGAGTGGTCGTTGTCCAACTTCATCCACATCTTGCAGAGCATCTCGACCTTCGGAATATGCAGGGTTTAGGGCTTAGGGGTTAGGGGTTCGGCGCCGGATTTGGGACATTTGTTGCTTAGGGTTCAGGGGTTGCGGGGCTGCCGGCCTAAGGTGTAAAGCTTTAGCTATACCGCCCTTAGAACCAATATAAAAACATAA